GGACAGGGCATGGACTGCGGCACCGCAGGGCCCCTAAGGTGCCCTATGGCCCCACCGACATCCGGAAGTGGCAAGCTGAGCGTTTCTTTGACCGTTCATGAGATGTTGTGCCGACGACGTCCGAGTGTGCGGCGCTTGCTTTGGAAGCTGCTGGCAGGCTGCTCGAGGGCGACCCCAAGGAACCCGACTACCCTGGCTAATCTCCTGGGGAGATCGCGAGGGCGGGTGCCGAGCGCTGTGGGGAGCGTGGTCCTGACGCCGGTGTGGGTGGGTGTCCCGTCTCGGGCAGTGTCTGTGGGGCCCGCGTCGGCCGTGATAGAGTTCTAGGGAGCAGGTCCCAGCCGACTGGGACAATTTCCGCCGGCCACGGGATAGCCGACATGGGAGCGCACGCCTTCTGCGGGCGCTGTGCTCGTGTCGAGGGTGAGTCTGGTCGGGCTCTCAGGCGGCTTCGTAAAGACCCCTCGGACATCCCTGAGATCCTCAGCGCACAGAAGCCGCGCCCGCAAGCGATGGAGGCGCGGGGAGCCGCCGCGGTACTGGCGGCGGGGTCTTGGGCCCAGGCTGTGTTTAGCCTGGGTCGAGCTCGGTTCTCCGCCCGAGGATCTACTCGTGCCTCGGGCGTAGACTTAGTTGTTCTTAATTCAGACGGAGGAATGACAAAAAACATAAACATAATATGCTGGAACTCCACGCGGATGTCTTGGATCCGCGCTGAAACCCCATCCCTCGTGCGCGGATCGCGCCAGGGGCAGCGCCGGAGGCGCCGCCGAGGGGTCCAAGCGACGATCTAAGAAACAGCGCGGAGCGTCGAAGGTTTGTGTATGCCGTGTTCTTCCCCAGTATAATGCAGAGCGTGCTCGGGCAACTAGGACACATCCTGCTGCTGGCGTCTCTCCCTTCGTGCCCTCCCTCCCTGCGTCTCCCTGCTCCTCCTCCTCCTCCTCCTCCTCCTCCTCCTCCTCCTCCTCCTCCTCCTCCTCCCCATCCTCCTTCCCCATGCTCCTCCTCACCTCATCTTGTTGGCGCCCGCTCCTCCCATGTTCGAGGGGACTCTGCCGAACTGTTCCTGGGGGAGGTGGAGAAGAGGAGGTAAGGAGGTCAAGAGAGGAGGGGGGAGGGCAACGGCGAAGACGACAAGGGACGACGACGGCGATGACGACAACGGCGACGGTAACGACATTGACGACGATGACGACGACGACGACGATGAAGACGACGACGACGCGAAGATGAACATGACGGCGACAGCGACGGCGATGACTGTGAAGACGACGACGACAACGACAACCAAGGCGGCGACGAAGGCGGCGATCAAGGCGGCAACCAAGGCGGCGATGGTGGCGACGCAGGCGACGGCGGAAGCGGCAGCGAAAACGGCATCGCCAGTGCGGCTCCCGAGCCGCGAGCGTCTCGACTCCCACCGGCACTTCGCTGGACACGGCGAACCTGAAGGCCAGGAGCTCGCGGAACGGCGCCTCCGCGAGCGCGCGCCCTCCCTGACGATACAGTGTTTTTCTCACACCGTTCTTGGTCCGCCTGGCTTCTCTTCTACGAGGTGAAGGAGGGACGGCCTGTCACTGTCCCAGGGCGGCTGAAAAGCTTCTACCCCGACGGACGTCGCGGGAAAGTGGTCGTCCGTTCTGGACAGGGGTGTGGAAACATACACGAACATGATACCCCTGGAGAGCGGGCGTCGGTCGGAAACGATGGGAGGAAAACAACCGACCAAGCCATCAGGCTCGCGACTCGCAGTCTCGCCGCCCTCGCAAGGGTTGGGGGGGAGGGGCAAACAAAATGTCGAACACCCACGTGCGTAGGATTCACAATGACACATCAAGCGCAACATAAACAACATCACGTGTGAACGGAAAATGCACCAAGCCTGCCAAGGGGAGACATCGCAAGTACAAACCTCCCTGACCCTACCTGTCCCTCATCATCCCTCCCACTTTCCCTCCACAGCGACAAGTTGTATGGTGGGGTGTGGAAACATACACGAACATGATACCCCTGGAGAGCGGGCGTCGGTCGGAAACGATGGGAGGAAAACAACCGACCAAGCCATCAGGCTCGCGAGTCGCAGTCTCACCGCCCATCGTGGCGATCGCGAGCCATCACCCATCGTGGCGATCGACGTGTCCAGAACGGGGAATTAGACTGGGATGAGGAGGCGAGGAGGGAGGGGACAGAGGACAATGTTTCTTACTCCGGGTCAGAATGGTCTACAACCAAGCGTGACACGGCCGTCTCTTCAGCCTGGTTCTCCCTGAGGTACGCGATGAACGCGGCGCTCCTCCAGTCCCCTGCCTTGAGCAGGGCGGCCAAGGACCCGCCTGCGTCTAGGATGTCCCTGGCCATCCCGCGCCGAAACGCATGACTACCCAGCCTCTCGTGGTCTGGCAAGCCCACGGCAGCGGCGTAACGCCGAAGGTCACTGACAAAAGTAGAGGGTGACCTGTCGAACAAATTGGCGCGACCATCCTGCTCGCACAATTGCACCATTTCACGCATCCAATGGTATGCGCACAACGCGCGGCCAGACGATTGGCAGCAACACTCGCGCCGGAGTGTCGAGGGCCCCCGGACGCGTTTTCGGCCCATCAAAACGATCTCGACTGTCCCACCACGGCAATGCACACACGAATGGGCACCGGAGTTCTTGCAGAGGCAACGCCTCGGATGGCACCCTAAGAAGGAACATCCGGCTTATCGCCACAATCGCAGCGAATTCACGGTCACCCACGGAAGCGCAATGCTGGATGAGCCTGCGCGCAGCCTGGGCTTGCAAGCCAAGGCGCGGTTGTGGGGCCGGTGCAACCTTCCTTTGATCTCGTCTCACCTGCTGGACCACTGGCGTGTCCCATGAGTTCGTCATGCGCAGAAAACGATGTGCCCATCTCAAATGCTTCAAGTATGTGCAAAACGTGTCAGGGTTAGCGAAAACCGAGCAGAAACGCAAAACTCCCGTTTCGCGGGCCGGGAAGTGCGGCCGGATGGAAGTGGCATCACAAAAGGCCGCCCAACATCGTACGCCCGCCATGTAGTTGGGCAGCGATTTCCCGATTGCCTGTAACACGTGGCGTTGCGCCCGCTCGTCTAGTATCTGCAAGTCGGCGTGCGGCGCCATTGCTAACGTTTTGATTTTTTTCCGTGGCGCAGCTCCCGTCAATAGCTCGCCCAGGCCCTGGGAACGCATTCTTTCCTCGAACACCTCCAAATGACAGGCCGCAGCAACCACCTGTTCTTTCCCGTACTCATGGATACACTGAGCCACAACCCAACCTGTTTTCTGGTCTGGTGGCAAGATTAGAACCCGCTGAATCCACCAACTGCATGGATTGACGCCGGACGGCGGTTGTTCGGCAACGCCTGCAGGCATCGCAAGCTCCGCGACGACATTTGCAACTGCATGGTCGGCCGCCGAACGTTCCGTCCCCGTGTCAACCGACCCGCGGGCTTCCCCTGACAGTGGTTGCAACTCAACGGACACAAACCCCAGGCGCGCAGACGAGGCTGACGGACCGCAGGTCCGAGGCGACGCGCGCGGAGCGTCCAGAGTGACAGGCACGAAAGGCATCACCTGGGCGCCCGGGCCCCCCCGGGGGCACGGCTTGGGCCGACCCGCTCCGGCCACGAACAGGGCGCTGGGTACATGAGTGGTGCTGCCACGAGCCTGGCTCGTGCCATGCCGTGCCATACATGCAAGTACGTTGACAACAACGCATACGATGCAGCGTGGTGCTGTCAGAGCTAACGGCAGTAAGAGCTCGCGCTCGAGGCACAAGCAACAACTGGCCTCCCCTACGCGCACGGCCTTCGGATGCCTGGCGCCCGCGAGGACGACGCGTGGCAATGGGCCCTGGGATGCAATGCGCCCTCGGGGGCGCGTGGCGGACAACGCGGACTCGTGTCCAGCCGCCCCGGCCCAAGCATGGCACAACAATGTTTGCGCTGATTGTCAATATGCCTATCTGTTTCCCCCAATGCTCGGAGGTGCTTGAGGGGAGGGAGGGAGGGAGGGAGGGGGGAGGAGACGGGGAAGAGTACGAAGGCACGCGCGCGCACAACACGCATCGTGACAACAACATGCACGCATGGATACTGTGAAAGTGCGACTCTGCTCTCGGACAGTGGCTCTTGCCACGGCCGGCGTTCGAGAATGTAGCAGCGCCTCGCGGCAGAAGGTCGCGCAGGGGGGCAAGGCACAGACTACCCGGATTCGGACCCGGGCGCCGCAACATTGGCACAAGTCAACATGTAAATGTGTGGCAATGTAATGCAGATAGTATGGGCAACATCGCGATAACGGTGGCGTGGCGCGCACATATGCAGACAACGGGATCGTGCCACCGTACATGTGTGCAGACCCACAACGAATAACATTGCGTCTCGCGACACAGCGCAGCCCTTGCGGGCGCCCGCGCAATGCGGGCGGCCACACTTGGACTCGTGTCCGGCCATAGAGGATCACACCAACAAGCATGCACACGACTGGCTCGGGCCAGCGTGCTCGTTACAAGGCCAAAGCCAATGACAATGCGTTTCGCGACCCAACAACACCTCTGAAAGATCAACCGACTCAAATGGCACCGGGTTACCAGCCCGCCCTTCAGACACATCTTTCACAGTTTGCTGCCAGATCTCTCGGGCGAGCTCCTGCTCCCGCGGCAGCGTTGGGCGCCGGCTGTGGGCGCGCCTGACGGTGCTCTCGTTGATCTGGAAGCATTGGGCCTTGAGTTCAAGGAGCGCCGGCGGCCCGCCGCACCCCGCGCGGCCTCTGCTCCGGAGGCCGCCCGGGGCGTCAACCCCGAGACCGCCTACATGCAGTTCCTCTGTAAGCGGGAAACCGTGCAACACATCATGCAGATACGTGGTGTCCGCGCGCTGACACTCGTGCAACAACATACCAAGCACGAACGGGTTCAGCTTGCCAAGCGCGCGCGCGCTCTCTGATGGCAGTTGCTGTCGCCATCGCCTGAGATGAGGAATGTTGTTTTGCAACTTCTGGCGCCAAACATCAACGATCTGATTCGTGTCCGCAACTACAGCGGCAGGCTGCGCTGCCAATTGCCGGATGCAGAACTCTTGTTCAGCACTCACATCGTGTTCAGGATGCCACGACATTGGGTCCCACAACTCAAACGTGGCAGCAACCTCATACATGTGCGAAACCGGCGACGTGCTCATGCAACCGGCGGCGTCGACGCCTGGGCTGGCGCTAGCAACCGATGGGCAACTGTCAAGCGATTGGCGGTCACTGTCACTCGTGCCATCGGAAGCATCACCAGGCCCCGCTCACGGACGGCGCCGCTGACCCTTGCCACCCTTCGCCGGCGGCGGCGGCGGCGTCTGGAACCACTGGCGGGCGCCCTGCCCGGCAGACGGGGGAGACCACTGATGGTTCACCCCGGCGCGTTTGCCACTGCCCTCGGGGGCAGGGAAGGACACGGGGCACGATAGCGCAGGGAAGGATAGACGAAAGGGGGGGGGCAGGCGAAGGACCCAACCAAAAACAAGAAAACGAGGACCACACAGAAACGCGGGGCGAAGGGAACCCCCTCCCGCGCCGCTACATATGACTCGTGTCTTTCCGCGCCGCCCTTCCTTTGGCGCCCCCTGGTACTGCTGTTGCACCTGCGCAAAGTGCTGCGCCTGCTGCGCCTGCTGCTGCTGCTGCTGCTGCTGCGACCCGCGAGCGCCCGAGGCGGACAGGCCCGCGGCCGACCGCGCCCGTGCGCGCCTGTTCTCCTCGACGTTGCTAACCATGGCCTGCGGCACGCAGGCCGCGTCGTGCCTGCGGGTCCTCTCGGCCATCTCGCTCCACAAAGAAGCGTCGTACTCCGCCGCCGTGCGACCGGAGTCCTCCACTGCGACGCGGTTAATGACACCAACGCCTCCACCGACATTGTCTCCCTGCCCGCGCGGGCTTGCAGCGTGAGCTGCGCGAGGGCGCGGGTCCACCACATCGCGGCCCACTGCGCGTGCGTGGCGTCTGCCCCCTTCCTTGGCTTGTGTCTGTCGTCCATCCAGTGGGGCGCCCACTTGTGCAGCGGGCCCCCGGCAACGCAGGACTTGTCCTTCTTGGCCGCCTTCCGGGCAGACCCGGCGAGCGTTTTGAGGCTGCTGTACGGCACGCAGTGGTCGTGGCGCACACCGGCCAAGCCGTGCTTCTTCAGACACGCCAACGCGTCCAGGTCCCTGTGGGCGGAACCGGCTGAGCTGGAGGACTCGCTGCGTCCCTCGTGGGCCCGGCGGTCTTTCCGCAACCTCCTGCTAAGGCGAGCAACCTCCTGTGCCGCAGCACCCTCGTTGGAGGCCCCCCCTCGGTGGTTCTGGCTTGATGCCGCCACTGCTTGTTGCACGTGCAGACACAGGGTGAGTTGCGCCCCTTTGGTTTCAGCTGGGAAAATCTGCAATAACAGCTCTCGGGGCGCCACCGATAGCTGCCAACGCGTCTTAACGCAAGTCTCCTTCAAACCCTCGAGGACCTGTGTCTGGAGCTCTTCCGTGCAAGGCGGGCTGTGCTGCGCCAGAAACTGACGCAGAGCTTGCTCGGCGTCGCCCGTGCTCTGTCTGGCCGCAGCCGCGGCTGCCGTTGCCCGCGCGTGGGCCTCGCCTGCGGGCGGCCGCCTTGACGGGCTCCTCGTGGGGGAATGGCCTCTGGCTCGCCCTCTTGACCGGCCTCTGGACCGGGCCACGGAGCGGCGCAGCGAGCCGCGCGAAGACCCCGGGGAACTGTTGCTGCTGCTGCTGCTGCTGCGACCCGCGAGCGCCCGAGGCGGACAGGCCCGCGGCCGACCGCGCCCGTGCGCGCCTGTTCTCCTCGACGTTGCTAACCATGGCCTGCGGCACGCAGGCCGCGTCGTGCCTGCGGGTCCTCTCGGCCATCTCGCTCCACAAAGAAGCGTCGTACTCCGCCGCCGTGCGACCGGAGCCCTCCACTGCGACGCGGTTAGTGTCGAGGAAGGCCGACACCAACGCCTCCACGGACATTGTCTCCCTGCCCGCGCGGGCTTGCAGCGTGAGCTGCGCGAGGGCGCGGGTCCACCACATCGCGGTCCACTGCGCGTGCGTGGCGTCTGTCCCCTTCCTTGGCTTGTGTCTGTCGTCCATCCAGTGGGGCGCCCACTTGTGCAGCGGGCCCCCGGCAACGCAGGACTTGTCCTTCTTGGCCGCCTTCCGGGCAGACCCGGCGAGCGTTTTGAGGCTGCTGTACGGCACGCAGTGGTCGTGGCGCACACCGGCCAAGCCGTGCTTCTTCAGACACGCCAACGCGTCCAGGTCCCTGTGGGTGGAACCGGCTGAGCTGGAGGACTCGCTGCGTCCCTCGTGGGCCCGGCGGTCTTTCCGCAACCTCCTGCTAAGGCGAGCAACCTCCTGTGCCGCAGCACCCTCGTTGGAGGCCCCCCCTCGGTGGTTCTGGCTTGATGCCGCCACTGCTTGTTGCACGTGCAGACACAGGGTGAGTTGCGCCCCTTTGGTTTCAGCTGGGAAAATCTGCAATAACAGCTCTCGGGGCGCCACCGATAGCTGCCAACGCGTCTTAACGCAAGTCTCCTTCAAACCCTCGAGGACCTGTGTCTGGAGCTCTTCCGTGCAAGGCGGGCTGTGCTGCGCCAGAAACTGACGCAGAGCTTGCTCGGCGTCGCCCGTGCTCTGTCTGGCCGCAGCCGCGGCTGCCGTTGCCCGCGCGTGGGCCTCGCCTGCGGGCGGCCGCCTTGACGGGCTCCTCGTGGGGGAATGGCCTCTGGCTCGCCCTCTTGACCGGCCTCTGGACCGGGCCACGGAGCGGCGCAGCGAGCCGCGCGAAGACCCCGGGGAACTGCTGCTGCGGCGGCGGCGCCGCCTGCTGCGAGAGCGAGCCGTGGCACCTGGCCAGCCTGCTCACTCGAGCAAACAAAATGTCGAACACCCACGTGCGTAGGATTCACAATGACACATCAAGCGCAACATAAACAACATCACGTGTGAACGGAAAATGCACCAAGCCTGCCAAGGGGAGACATCGCAAGTACAAACCTCCCTGACCCTACCTGTCCCTCATCATCCCTCCCACTTTCCCTCCACAGCAACAAGTTGTATGGTGAGTATAAACTTTCCAGCCGCCTCGGGGGCAGGCGCCCCCGATGGCAGGAGAGCTATTCAGGTTGGCAATGAAATGGGGTCCACGAAACTGTTCGCCGCTGGCGGGCCCCTGGAGCCTGGGGCCCTCCACGGGCCCCGAACCAGCCGACAGGAGCGTCCTGGGGTGAGCCCCAGGGCCTCTGGGGCCCGTGCCCCTGAGGACCCCTTTCCTTCTCTCGGGGAACGAGCACTGACATGCGCGTAAACCTCCAGAGGTCCGCGCGGGTTGCTTGGATCGGCGCTGGGCCCACCTGACGGCGCCTCCGGCGCCGCCCCTGGCGCGCTCCACGCGCCAGGGAGGGTGGCCCAGCGCCGATCCAAGCAACCCGCGCGGACCTCCGAAGGTTTACGCGCATGTCAGTGCTCGTTCCCCGATTCATGGCCACCTCCCTCCCCCGACAAGGCCCTGTGCGCCGCTATCTCGCCTGTCCGTGGACGCCCCACGCGCCGGCCCGCTTACGGCGGCGCGTCACCGCCCTCCCTCCTCGGCAGTGGGGCGCCCTGCGGCGCGGCGCTGTCTGGCGGCCCAGCCGAGCGCCCCCCCTTGACTCTCCCCAGGTATCCAGCACCTCGAACAGATCGAGGCGCCCAGTCTGCCGCTACTTTGGAGAGGTCTGGGGGCAACCGTATCGAATCATCCAATCGCCAGATGCCCGCAGGGTTCCTCCCGGCCCCCGACGTCCCGCAGTCTCTCCCTCCCTCCCTCCCTCCCTCCCTCCCTCCCTTCTCGGTGCGCGCCGACCGTCATAATGAGCGGTAGGAGCAACCGACAGGTCGGCAGCATGATACTAGAGACCTCGCCAGGCGCACACCACATGACTTCCGAGCAGGCCGCCTCGCAGCGGCTGGGACAGCCACTGATCGCAAGTGCCGGTGGCACCTCGTCGTCGTCGACATTCGTGCAGCGCGCGCTGGCAGCACCTCGCTGAACTCGCGCAGTCAGACCGGCGGCTGCACCCTCAGAGCCACCGCTGCCAGCATGACAGGGAGGCGCCCGAGGCGCCGGTGCCAACACTTGCTGTTGCGAGGAGGAGATATACCAATATCCACCGGCTGTGGAACCGACGTCCTTGGACCCAAGCGGGCGGTGGATATACTTATATATTTGGGCCACAGGGGGTTCGAATATATCCATGTCCGCTGGCTGCCAAGGTCGCCGAAAATCCCCACCTCGGACCGCACCCTGCGGCTCACCTCGGAGGCTCCTGGCCGCGCTGGCCTACCGCGCCCGCCACGAAAGGCCCCCCATACCACATGACCCTTCCTCCATCCATCTCCTCTCTGCCCCTCCGACCCTCCCTCACTCCATCCCTCGTCCCTTCCTTCCTGCCCATATCCATATAGATAGTCAGCTGAATAGTGTATGCATGTATCCATAAATATGTGTCTGTGTGTCTATAAACATATATGTATCTCCGCCACCGTGCCCCTCCACGGAGCGAGTACCCTCAAGCCCCGTGTAATCCTGTCCCCAGCAATGAAGATTATGAAGTTGCCCAAGCACGGAATTCATGTGTTCCCAACATGCCTCCCGGGGTGTCGCGCGTCTTGACGCATGTTTCTGTCGAGGCGAACGGGGCCCTATGACGGGCCAGGAGGGCCCCGAGAGCCCCCAAACCTATCCAAGAGAGGTCCCAAATCGCCGAAAGATCGTTGCAAGACGCTGGCCCCAAGACAGCCCATGATGTTCCAAAACATCCAAACAGGCCTCGAAGAGGCCCCCCGGAATTGCACCAAGAGGTAAACGTAACTGATGTTGTTTAGGATAATTTAAACTTGTTGGCGGATCCCCAACGATCCAAGACAGCCCGACAAGCCCCCAAGATCGCCCCAAGACCAGGAGGGCCCCAAGACGGCCCGAGGGGCTCCGAGATGGGCCCACTGACGGGGCACCCGAACGGACATTCCCAACCCTCGGCCCCGAGACCAGGAGGCTCTAAGAGACCCCCTGAAAAGCCCCCAAGACATCTCAAATGACCCCCAAGAGGCCCCAGTAAGCCCCAAGAGGCCCCCAAGAGGCTTCCAAGACGCCCCGATGAGGCCCCCTAAGACGCACCAAAAATGCCCCCAAGAGGGCCCTGAGAGTCCTCCGAAGAAACTCCAAGAAGCATCCCTGACAACTCTGGCCCACATCCCAGGCACGGTGGCGGGAAGGGCCGATGGCCAGCAGAAACTTCTACAAGTCCCCTCCACGCGTGGACTTCGCCAAATTCTCAGCATCTCCAGACGAATGAGTGCATCCATTGCTCAGATCTACTAACCCTGAGAATCCCGTCATGCTGATATACTAGATGATCGGTTCCGAACGGTTTCGCCCAGCATGGCTGCAATGCTTTGCTAAGTAGATGTGAGACTGGGCAATGACACGTGCGCGCAAGAAGAGAGGCGCGCGCACCCCTTCCCGCCAAGACGCCAACTGCGCCATATCCCCACGACTCTTGAGCCAAAAGCGCGCATGGAGCGGAACGCATACATAAACCCCAAAGAATGGCGGAAGGGGCGAAGGTAAATAATTTCCCAGCAGCGAGCCTGGAGCAACTTCACCCCGCACGCCAGCCTCAGCGCGCCTCGCTTAGGAGCGCCAACCAACACCAAAGACAGTTTTCACAGCGCAACTCGCCCGAGCAGCACCTAATCCTGCTGCAGCGGCGGGGGTGGGGGCGCTCGACGTAGCCCCGACTTTCGTCAGACGGAGCCCGCGGGCGCCACTGGTCCCCAGGGCCACGCTTCGACCTCGTTCACCGCGAGCTGCCTTCCCAGCTTCGACCCGAACACGCATGCCGCGACCTGCCATCTGGCTCCGCACTCGCATGCCGAGAGCTATCATCTCACCGGTCACTCCCTGAGGCCCACGTTGCATCGTCGCGGTCAGCACGTCTCCGCCGCCGATTGTCGCTCCGATTGTCGGCGCGAATGTCAGCCCACCAAACGCCCGAATCGCTTCGCGCATTTCTGCCACCACGGCCACTTTCCTCGGCCTTGCCCTGACCCATTGCCTTCGCCAAGGAGACGGTATTTGCCTGCGGGACATCGCCCGAATGGGGCGCGTGCGCGCCCCATCCTGGTTCCTCTCGAGGAACCTGCACCAAGACCGCGGCCACTCTCGGCTGGTTCGAACCTGCCACGGAGGTCGCATCACCAACGAGCTGCCGCCGAAAAGCGAATCCTGTCACCCGCGGCCTGAATCTCTGCCACGGGTAGGCGGGCCGGCCGTCGCGGCGGCGCCACGATCTCCCGCCCCCGCCGCCCCCCCTCCTCCGACGGCCAGCCGAGCCCGATCCAATCCCAGGGCCGCCCTGGTCGCCAACGCAGAACGGGCGCGGGCATGGTCGAATATTCCACATCATGTGCCGCTTCATTCTCGTCGGCATCAACTGGTAAGAACACGCGTGATCAGCTCGCTCATCTTGAAAATTCGGCCCAGACATCATCGCGCAGCGTTCCATCTTCGCTCGAGTGTCTCGCGACTTCCCATCGCAGCCAAGCGCCCAACCTCTGCCAGGGGGGCAATGACATCGACGGTCCAAAATGCACCACGTCCTTCCAGTTCCTTCTCGACAAACTCAACGCTGCCTGGGCGCAGGAAAGATGTTGCCCCCATGGCGCATCCACCTCTCCACGTCTCATTACTGCCCTCCTGCATCATAGAGTGTACATGCGAGCGGAAAGAATCCTTGATCCTTTATCCAATGGATCCCTATCCTGGGTTACTGCATCCCCATCGAAGCTTGGACCGCGGCAAACTCGGCGCTGCGCGCGAGCCAGCCCTCATTCCCAGCGCGCCACGGCGCGCGCGGCCCCTCGCAAGCAATGCCAGGTCACCCCTCATAGAGGAAAAAGAACGATGCACATACACCGATTCTGGCCAGGCCCATCCTGAGCCCAGGATCGGCGCAGACGCCCCCCTACCTTGGCCAGGAAGGCATACGCACCGATCCTGGTTCAAGGATGGGCCTTGCCAGGATCGGTGCATGCGCACAGTTCTCTTCGCCCGACCCTCAAGAACCATCCGCAATATCACCCCGCGGAGAGAGAGCACCCCAAGGGCTGCCAGGCCCGTTCTCTCACCTCCCCATTACCTACAGGATAGGCTCCACAGACAACTCGTTCGACAACGACGATAAATTCTCAACCAAGGCGCGCCGACCTGACTTGAGCGATACTCGATTTCAACACTGACACCACGGCCTGCCCCGAATCATGGTTCTCGCGCTGACGCTGGTTTCGCGCCGCGTGCACTGCGGACGGACTACGAGCCGTCCTCGGCGAAGGCATCACTGCGCGCGGGAATCCCCGGCGCGGGCGCGTTGACCTCACCCCCGAGAAGCGGTCACTATCCTCCTGGGGTTCTTTGGCGCAGGACCTTCACGAGCGCGTCGAACTCGGAGTCGACGCCCAACTGGCAAGCGCACCTCCGGTCGGACCCACCCCCCTGATCAACCTCTGCCAGTCGCAACCGCACCAAATCAGGTCCGTCATAGCGGGTCGACGGGCACGGGCCCCGCAGCTAGGAACCGCGGGACAAACCCGGCAAACAAAGCATCCCGAGTCAAACTTCCCCGTCGCAGCGCACGCGCACCATGCGCGGCCCACCCGGCCCCGGCCCCCCCCCCCCCCCACACACACACACACACACACACACACACACACACACACACACACACACACACACCTCTCACGCACCCCCAGGGGAGCATCAACTCTTGCCCGGCGCGCCCTTCAACGCCTGATCATTACTAAGCACAA